TTTTTTTTTTTTTTATTATGCATGGGATTCGCCCCATTTATCACGCCCATCAACCATGAAGCATGAATCTTCTGTTTTTTTTTTTTTCCTTTTTTGACGTCAAACGGAATAAGCTTTTACATGCCACATAATTAAGTTGACAAGGAAAGGCGCAGGCGGCCGCTGCACGCGCGGCGGTTATTTACGCGAGCTTCCATTTTTTGGTGCACGTTGTGAGGCCTGCGTGCGTGTAGGTTGAACGAGGACGAGGCGGAGAGACGGCGTAGGACGCAGGCGAGAAGCACACCTAAGTATAACACGCCAAGGAACTCCGCCAAGAGACGCCGCCAAGCACACCGCTGAACGGCGCGTTGAGCGCGCAACCCCCTTTTGAGAGGATGCCCATTTTAACCCAGCGTGACTATTTTTCACTATACGTGCGAACAGAATTGCAGTGTTATTCATGACGCTTATGTTTTTTACATGTGTGTACATATATATATATGCATAGCTATTTTTTTTTTATTCCCATTTTATATGGCCAAAATAACAGTTCTTAAAAAAAAAAAGTGAAAAATTATTAAAAAAAGGAAGAGCAAAGTGAAGAAGGGGGACCGCATGTTTCTTCTTTTCTCTTTGCAGCTCAGTAGGGAATGGGAAGAGGGGTCCCCCTTTCTTGTGTCTCTTGGTCCCCTTCCCTTACACTCGCCCCTTTCCATGCAGGCAGTTAGAAAATGTACCTGGCGAGATTTTTACAGTTATGCCTCGTCTCCATAGCAACGGGACCCTTTATCTTGGTTGCCTTAAGTTTGTTCTTCGATATAATGACAAAGGCATTGTCATCGAATTTGATGTAACTACCGTCTTTCCTCTTCGTTTCTTTTTTCCTCCGAACGATGATACCCTTGGGAGTTTTTTCCTGAATGATGCAATCGTTTGTTTTGTCTCGTATGGAAACCCTAATGCGATCTCCTATTTTTCCTGTCCCCCACTTGTTTTTTCCAATTCCGATTATGCATGCTTTGATGACTCCGCTGTTGTCTGCGCTTCGGACGATGGACTGTCTCCAAAGTCCGCTTAACACCTGCGTCAGTTGCATCCTTCGGAGCGGGTGCGCACTTTGGTGAAGAGGCACACATGGGGGTTTTCCTGCATGGGTTTAAGTTTGTGCATCAGCGCATGCGTAGCTTGTGGGGGGGTCTCCCTTTACTAAGTCATGTGCTTTTACTACCCTTCATACGGACCACCAAAAGGGCCCCCTCGCACTCTCCGCACAAATGGGTAAACCCGCCTTTGTTCTCTTCGCCACGGTGGTTCTGTTTGCACCCCTCCCTGTATCACCTAGAACGTGTGGATGCGTTGTGCTGATTTTCCCCCTTCTGGGCTGTTTCGTGCGTACAGCTGCGCAATGGCGTATGTGGAGGGATGCGGTCATGGGGAAAAAAAAACAGGGCATAACATTACTCCACGTTGGCCTTCTTAACATGGGGAGAAGAAAAACAGAAAAAAAAAAAAAAAAAAAAAGAAATCAACTTTGAACGACTGATGATTATTATTCCCCGCGAAAAAAAAAAAAAAAAAAAAAAAATGAAAAGCACAAAATTTGTGAAACTGTAGGAGGCTCACCGCCGCGAAGTCGAAACGGTTCCAGTGGAATTCCGCGTCAATTTTATACCCGCAACGGCAATGAAGAAATTACACCCCAATATGAGCATGCGAAGGTGTGCGACGGTATACAACCATATGCGACACCTTTGAGCACAATTAAGGAATTTCTTTTTAGGGGCTCATGAGGTGGCTTCTTCCCCTGTTCGCTTCCCCCAAATGGAACAAATTTTCTGCCTTGGCCCTGAGACGCTGGGGCTAAAACAGGAGTGCTACGCTAATTTGGGTACCTCCAATTAGCTAGCTAACCCGCATGTCATTTTGGTTGGATGTAGATATGCACACTCTAAGCAGCACCAAGAGGAGTGAATAGTAAAGAAGTTATACTTCTGTGCTGTGCACATTTCTGTTACCCTTTTGATTATACACCTTAGTGTTCGGCTGATACGTGGCCTTTTTTTCTTTTTTTATTTTTTTTTTGCGACGAATTGAACAAAATGGAAAGGACTCCATGCGCTTTAAAAATCGTTACACTGTAAAAATTGAATTATCGTGGTGGAGACTGCTCCAGGGGGGAAGGCACGACACAACATCGATTAACCCCCTCCCCAGCATGAACACAATGTGTCCATATGTTCATCAAAATGGGCACCCATGTAGGGGTAAAGGTAGGCAGACAGCATTTAGCCCAATCCAAACGTTGACACATTAACAGAATGAGAGTTCCATCCCGTTAAGTGAGACAAAACGGAGGATACATTCCTCAAGAGGGACGTTTCCCCAGAAGACAGTTTTTTTTTTTTTTTTTTTTTCCATACTTGTCATTTAAAACCTTTTTTTCATTTTATCCCGCGAGTAAGTACTCCTAGTGGTAGATTTCACATCAACTGGGCGAAGATACTGGGAGGCCTCCCCCTTTTGGTTCTCCATGTACGTCTTCATCACATCATCAGCTGATACGTCTTTCTCACCCTTGGCAAAAACGGCAATGTCGCTCGTCTGGGATTGCTCTCCGTGGTTGCTATCATCACCGATGGGTGTTAGATATAAGGCACAATACTTTTCATACAGGGGGCGATATTTTCCCTGATAATTTGTCCTCAACGATTGAAGCGACTCCTCTAATGCATCCCGTTTAATAACAACAAATTCGTTGTTTAATATGGTGCCACTGAAATTGTGAGGCAAAAAAAAAAGCGGCTTATCGAGTATGCGTCCAGGGGGTCGTGGGTGCCCCCCCCCACCATCACCACCATAGTCGCCCTCCTGATCGAGGTCATCTCCCGCACGCACAACATTCTTTAACGTCCTATTTGCAATTTCTTCATTTTTTTTTTTCAAATTTGCAATTTCGACCTGACTCAGTTCAGGCAATTTTAACTTGGATAAATAATTACACCTCTCCGAAGCGAGCAAATTACAGATGTATTTGTAGACCTCCTCAGACATGTTCCCCCACGCGTGTACCTGCTTCCTCCATTTTTTCATTTCTTTATTCCACTGGGACAAACTGAGATTCCTGTTAATGCGCGGAGTCTCGGGGTGCCAATCATTTTTCATATCTTCTCTTCTCTCTTCTTTTGGAACAGCATTAATGTACCTCTCATACGATAGTAGCCGCTTGGTCAAATTGATGTTTTTAATTCTTTGGTTAATTTGCGCTTGACTCAGTTCATTTTTCAGGCCCCGCGATTTGTTCCTCTGGAAGTTGGCCTTCTCCTGCATGGCGCCTTTCCAATGGGGCAAAGCAGACGATGGACACGCCCTAGTAGGTATATACGTAAATACCTGCGTAAATACATCCGTTTGTGCGTGTGTGCCCGTTCTTTAAAAGACGAGCGGGTTTAGCCGACTTTTGACTGTTTGCCAAGCCATGCTCCTTTTTTTCTTTAAAACTGTGCGTCTCCCCTCAGAGAAACCTGGGCGAGGCGTTCCGAGTAACTCCAAAGTGGGTTTAAAGGGGCGTCTTACCTTTCACATTCATTTTGGTTTGCCACACTGTGGCTTCGCAGCCAGTTAGCAAGTTAGCCGTTCAGTACCATTTGTTCTTTTTTTTGTTGTTTTTTTTTTGCTTCATACCTTTTTTTGTGTATCCCAACTGTGTCGAAAAAGGATGCAAAAAGGTGAACTTTAAAAAAAAAAAATAAAAAAACCATACAGCTTTGAACAGAATTGGGTGTACTTATAAGAGAAATCCGCGTGTGTGACCAAATATATGTTTTTTTTTTTTTTTTATCTAAAGTGATCCTGTTCCGTTGAACTGACAAAGAAGGACCATTCAGCTTCATCCTTGGGGAATGCTGTGGAGAAAACCCCGCGCTGGTACGACTGCTAAGAGTATGACACCATTTTGTGCACTTGAAAGCCACACGAATGGGATTATTCCCTCCTGTCCAGCCGCTAATCATTTTATGCATATCAGATAAGAGGAGACACATCCCCGCGTTAATGGGCATAAAGGACAAAAGTAGTTAGAAGGGGCTTCAAGAGGGACGCATCTTCTACTCCCGATCTGCGCGCAGTTGGGATTATCCCAATCACCACATATGCAGGAAAAAAGGGAAACGTCCAGGCAATTCACAATTTCGTTCTCATAAAACGGTTAAGCGGCGGAACGACATTTTTGCTGCCCAACTTCTTCACCATTTGCCAAAAGGGCAGACGAAGCCATTCCAGGCTTCAGAGTTCCTCCTGGAAAGCTAATAAAAGCCGGGGATTCCCACTTTGTGTGCATTCTTTTGTACATGCACACGTAGGCGCAAATGGCACACTCCTACCTGTTCTCTGTCCACGCGGAGTGGCAACTATCCACACATGTGCACAGAATTCACAAAAGGGCTTCACTTCAAAGGGGGCAACTTTTCCTAAAAAATGTACTATTCGTAAATTTACTATTCGTAAATGTACTATTCGTAAATGTACTATTCGTGCTGGAACCCATGCTAAGAGTTGCAAAGCAGAAGTGGCATGCAAAGTGAGAAAAAAGTGCGTAGAATTTCGTCTGTTCAGCTAAACGCACATGTCCACACATGCATGGAAAAAGGCAAACGTTCAAACAGGAAGCCATTCTCCGCGAGCGCACATGCAGATGTGCAGCCGTTCTACCTTTTTGCAGCTAACTGGTGGCTCCTTAAAGAACAACACGTTCTGCTACGCTCCTAAGCGGACAACGCTTCTCCTTGCGAGAGGCGAACAAAAATAGAGGCATGTCTAAACAAGCGATGGTAGCACTGTCAGGTGTAATCAATTAGCCATTTTTTTTTTTTTCTTCGTATATTTTACCTGAACAGGTAGGAAAAAAAAAAAAAAAAAAAGCTTTTTTCTTTTGAAATTAAGAAAGTGATGTAATAAATAAACATTTTATTTTAAAAAAAAAAATAAAATAATAGCTACTTTTCTTTTTTCGTTATACTTTTGCAACACCTACAAACAACCGCAAAATAACATGTGTTGTTAAGTATCGCTTTTTAGTTACATTCTTTGTTCTTTCCCCAACTAAGACAAAATTGAACAACAAAAGGAGTAATGAATAATTCCATCCGAAGAATGTTTGCTTTCCTCCTTCCGTTTTAACGCGTTAAAAGCTACAACATCCATCAGTCACGACGCATAACGCATCACTCGTTTTTGCCCTATTGCGATAATTCTCTCTTCTCTTTCTACAGAGGGGTAATAAAAAGTGATACATCGGGATAAACTTCTTAAGCGCTATCTCTTTATTCCAACTCGTTAAGTCCATTTTTTCACGCCAATTTTTTCCTAACCTACTCTTTTGCCGTTAAGTCAACACTTGCGCATATAGCAGTTTCTCTTCACACATTTTTACTACCCATAATGGACGCCGAAAACTCGCCCGATAAAGGTAACAACCACGACAGAACGGAGCATGGACAGTTAGTACACGCCATTTCACTTTTTACACGCGCGCTCCTTCACGGATAACCGTTTCTCCACCGTTTTTTTCCCTCTTGATGGACTCATCCACAGATAACGTGGTCTCCTCGCAGGGAGGTGCATCGGACACGTCGGGCAAGGAGCAGAAGGCGGACGCGTCTAAGGGGTCTACCAATTCGGCCAAGCTCGAACCAGCGGGCGAATCGGACAATCCCGCTACATCAGACGCCTTATTCATAGGAGACACGGATGCTCCTACTATCGGCACGGACGACAACAGAGCAAACAAGTACAGAAGGTTTCTGCAAAATTCTACAGACGAGTACACAATTCAGAAGATGGAAAGGTTTCTAAAGTAATCCCCCCACACCCACACAAACACAAAAAAAAAAAGAAGGAACAAATGGGATTTATAGAAACAGCTATAGTTCCGTTTATGAGTGTGTAATGGATTGGACTGTTATTTGAGTCTCCTTTTTTTTTGTTTTTTTTTCTTTCTTTGTTCCCCATTTGGGGCCTCTCTATGTGGCCTTCCTCTCTCCGTGTATTACCACATGTTGTTTCTTCCCTCTTTGCAGACATGGGATTTCAGATAATGGCATGAGGATGCTGACTACGGATACCTGCACGTGGTGAGTTTTGTGTGCACTCATGGTTGGATGGAGGGTGGAGCCCGCGCCCCGTCTATCCTCGGCCATATTGGCAGTCGCGCAGATACAAACGCGTGTACATTCGCACCTTTCCTGTGGATATTTATCCGTTTGACAGATGCGTTTTCACATTTTGTTCTCATGGACACCATTTACAGGGTCTACGATTATTACAAAACGACCAAGACGTCTAGTCCAAACTTGAAGGAATTCACACCGGGCACCACGGTGGACTATTATTACTATTCCACTCCCTTTCGAACACAAATTGGAAACATAAATCTGGTTATGATGCATAGTCAGGTGAACTTTGAAGACGGAACTGTCGCTCCTGCTGATAGGGTTTTCAAGATGAACGAGATAACGCCCGAAAAGGTGAAGGCGGCAAAGGTGAAGGCTCGCGAGTATAAGAATGGGTTCACCGACTGGATTTAGCCAATTGATTGTGTGTGTGTGGGGGGGAAATATAAGTGAGGTAGGGCCAGCTTAGTAGTTGTTCCTTCTTCCACCCTTCCTCCATCATGCGATGCTGAATTTTTTGCGCACCATTTGTGTCCACCTCGAAATGGAGAACTAACTCTGCATGGACATCAAAATCGGTTGCCTCCTTCGATTGGGTCGTTTACTACGAGAGGACTGCACTGAGCCTCAGCCCGACCTATTCATCCAAATTTTTTTCCTTTTTTTCCCTTTTTTTTTGATTCTTTTGTAACTTGCACCCTTTCGCTTCTTTTCGTTCACCGTGGTGGCTTTGTTCCCCTTTGTGGGCGCTTCACCCCTTATCCGTTTTTTGGCTTTATTTTTTCGCCTTACTTTTTTGTCTTACTTTTTTGCTTTATTTTTTTCCGCACCCTGTGCGCAACACCCTCAACTTACACGCGGGGTACTTTTTAAGGAATGTCCCAAACATGACAATTTAAGAAGAAATACATATATATATACATATCCCCTCCGTGTCTTCAATTTTGTTCGAAAAGTGACTATTGGTTGGTGGGCTAATCGCTAGGGAGCTCGATTTGTAGTGCTCAGCTTCGTCCCCCTGGTCACGTTGTCCTTCTGGACGTCCGAGCAGCGAGAGTGTGCATTTTATGTAGAAGAAGCTAAGAAGGTTGGGGGGCGGGATAAAATCAGCCAATCGCGCAGTGGCGCAGTTAATCTCTTTGCTTCCTTCCTCTCGGTGAACCGTAAAGGCAAAAGGGTTTACTCTTTTTTTCCACCTGCTATGTGGGTGGCGTCCTGCTGTTGTTGTCCAGTGTACCTACACGTAATTTTTATCTTATTTTATTTATATATATTTTTTTTATTTTATCTGTTTTTTTTACTTTTATACCTTCCTTACGATTAGCAATAAATGGCACGAGCGCATCGAATGTGGACGGGGAATTCACCCCCCTTCGATCACTCCCTAGAAGATAACACCGTTCCACGCATATTTGTAAATACGTTCGTTCCTATTCTGTCCTTGGTTAAATCTTCACCAGCGATTTGTTCACCTGCACGTGTTCATATACTTCTGAAGGCGAATTATGTAAGCACATTCTGTTCGCACATTGCAGCATAGAATAACAAAGCATAGTTTCGACTTGTTCCTAAAAGAAAGAAAAAAAAAAAAAAAGATAGGTGCCACCCCGTTAGAGAAGTGTCTTTCCAAAGCGTAGCTCCCCCGTTTGTTCTCCTACCCCTATTCAAGATGCACTATCTGCTTTTCTTCGTTTTGTTTTTTTTTGTAAACCTGCTGCTGCCTGTCATTTATTGTGAGAAGGGGGAGATTTTACCATTCGGTGAGATCCTCTCCGGTGTTGCAGACATAGCCAATGTGGTTACGTCCAAAAAGGAAGACGCCTCGGTTGATCCCGTCGTCGCAACTGCCAGCAGGATCAACCTGAAAATAGTTCCATCCAGAAAGTTGAACGTCACAAAGAATGATTTGATGTTCCTCATGTCGGAGATACGACAGGAAATTAGGAGACAGGTGAGAGGTGCCAACTTGAGTTGTGCAAGAGGTCGAGTCGTGGTGCACACTTAGGATAACTGGAAGGAATGACCTTTTTTTTCTTTTTCTATTTTTTCTTTCTTTATTTTCTCTCCTTTTGGGGGACCCCCTTTGCAGATTAGCATCCTGGAAGGTACGTCCAGTAAATCGCATAAGACAGGACAGCCTCGCAAAATGACCGCGAAAAAGCAAAATATTCGCTTTCGCGAGAACATTCACTCATGGGTGTGCTCGTTTGCCTTGCACTCAGACGAACTTGAGGAAAAGGAAAGAATGAGGAGAAGATCCTCGTCCCTATGGACAATTAGCCATTCGGCTGTTTACTCCCCTGAAGAGAGTGGTACGGCCTAATGGGCGCACGCGCGAGACCTGAAGTTCGTGACTCAGGGTGTCACTTCTATGCACACCGCTGCTCGCTGCGTTCGACTTTTTGTTCCATTTTCCGCCAACCCCCCTTTTTAACAAACATCTCTTTTTTATGCTTCCTGTTCCGAATATTCAGTGGATGATACTCAGAAGGTAAGTTACTCGCTGCTCATTTCAGATCGAGAGGGGGGGAGAAAACTCTGCAGCGAATTAGAATAACAGTTTACAGATGGGGGAGGACTGCCCATGCTTTGGCATGCGTCTGTGGGGGAGGCCTCCCCTCGGTAGGAGCAGCACATAACGGGCAATATACATTTATACATACATATAAATATACATATATGTATTTTTTTTTTCCTAGATGGACAGCCTGGAGGAGGAGGAACGAGAAGAAATCGAAAACATGCTGGACTCCCTAAACACGGTATCGCCGAGGCGTAGTGAAGGAATTGCCTTTTTTGCACAGAGAAAAAACGGCAGCGCCAAAAAGGTTGCGCGGAGCGTATGCACAACTTAGGTACCCAATGGTTTCGTAACCTGTACCATTGCTCCCATGTCAGCTGGACAAGGAAGATCACACAACGCCGCAGCAGAGAACATCCTACAATGTACAAATTGGCGATGAGAAAGATGAGGAGGATGCTCAAAATGATACAGCCAAGGGTACACGGTTCAGTCAGAAGACTCTACGAAATGGTACTACCGCTTGGCGTAGATTTACTCGCGCCGTTGTTCCGACACCCTTGCGCGTTTCTGCCCCGTGCATCGGCTGGCTTGCCTTTCATCCCAAATGATCACTATCGTGGCTTTTCCTTCTTCCTTTTTCAATCTTCCGCTCTTGGAAACAATTAGGCCCAATAACAAGACGATGAATGAGAAACTGGTGTGTAGCCAGAACGGTCACCCGTGGAGAAGGAAGAAAAATTGTTACGTTTTTGTTGTTTTTTTTTTTAATCTACCTCGGTGATACGCGAGGGGCAAAAGACGTCCAAATGGAACGCAGCTATTATTTTTTTGTTCTTCTGGCAGTTAGTGAGGAACAAAGTGCGCCTTCTTTTGTCTGCACATGTTCATATGTATATACACATATATGTATATCCGCCGACATATGTGTGTGCCCCCCCCGTGGAAAGGGTCTCCGGATCGAGGACGGTCATCCTGTTGCTCTGAGCAGTTCTGCTTCCGGCGAACGGAAAAATAGCAGTTGTTTCCCTATCTTAACCTATATTTCTTCGCAGGGATGGACCTTTGCCCTGTGGTTTGATTTGCGATTTATCTTGCAGTTTGCCTTGTGGTTTACGCTTACGCTGATGTTTCCTATTCCTTTTCTGTTTTTTTTTTTCTTTATTGTGCCCAGCCTACGGCGCAAATTCGCGCCTGAGGACACACCCCATGTGTAAAAAAATGTTTCACCTTTGATGATGGTAATAATATAGGGTTACAAATGAATAGAAATTTTTTTCGTCGTCGTACGTTAGGTAGGAACTTAGGGAGAGTGCCTAAATGATAAACCCCGGTGGGACCAATGTACAGTGGAGTTGTTCCTTATGTTCTTCCTCCCCAAGATGTTTAATCTGTTAGGGAAAACAAAAGGGATTTTTTTTTTTTTTTTTTTTTGTTACTCCAGTTGGTATTTCCTCAAAAAATGCTTTTACTGCTGTTGTGCTAGTGGCCAAATGGGACAGACTGTTCGCAGCAGCAAGTGCGTTGTCTTCTGCGACATTTATGCGTCCCCTTCGACATCATTTGTTCGGTTTTTGATTCGTTTTTTATAGCTTCTTCTTTTTAACTTTTTCTTTTGTGACCCATTTTACTTAGTTTCAACGGAGGGGATGTACATACATTAAAATGAGGAGAGAAAGGAAAAAAGAAAAAAAAAATGCGCCTTTTTTAGTCTTTTTCTTGTGCCGTAGTTTCTTTTCTTTTTTTTTCTGCCAGCCCCGCTTCGTGTGTATGCATATATACACGTATCTGGTCCGTTTGAGGCTGCACTTAGCGCCACGCTGGTCGGACGTTCCCCTCCCCGCATGTGCGTTTTGGCTAGTGTGGGGCATTTCAATACGGGTGATGGCACCTATGAATAGGTAAGACAAGCGGGGTGCCAAATAGGATGGGAGAAGAGTCACCAAGACAGACGCATGCATATGTGGCGAGCTTCGCAACGAAATGACATTTTCGTTGTTCTTCATTGGCCTCCTTCCACCATGTGCCTTTGTGTCCTACATCAGGGGAGGGCATGCTCAAACAAAGAGGGCGAACTTTTTTTTTTTCTTTATTTTCCAAAATGAAACGTTTGAAGTATGACCCGTCTTGAAGAGAATTAAAACGTCTGAAACAGCACAGAATGAGCTGGAGGGATGCATTGCACACATTTGTGGGTGCCCATTTCAGCATAGGAGAGGACGCCATGCAGAGTTCGTACGCACCACAGCCGCCGCTGGGGATGGTTTCCATTGAAGTGTACACCTCATAAAGACAAAAGGGTGTACCATCCATGTGGTTGTCCCACTTGAGAGATTATGCATCCGTCCAGTTGGACCTTCCCTGGAGCTGCGCCGCTTCTTCACACGTGTTACTTTTGGGGCAGCCGTCATCGCAGCAATGTGTTGTTACTCGCACCGCATGGCGTGGAGTCGCTCTATTCCGCGCAGTTTTTCTTCTTTCATTTTTACTACTTTTTTCTTCTTACTGCTCTCAATGGCTGTGATTTTTTCCCCCCCGGTGCCGTCGACAAATCGGTGACGCGAAGAGGAAGGAACAGCCCCGGTGTGAAAAAGGCAGGGGTCTCCACGGGATAGAAACAAAATGCACCTCACATGAGACATTTTACTTCAACACACTTCGCGCAGTTGTTCATCATTTCTTGCAGCAGAAGCGGCAGGAAGAGAAGCAACACCAACACCGGCAGCAGCGGCACTTGTCTCCCCCCGAGGGGTCTACACATATACACCTTGGGCGGACGCGGCGCGGAGACGAAGAATCAGGAAGGTCGCCAAAGGGTCGGTAGCAGGGTTGCCTGCTCCTCGGGGGGGGATAACAAAAAAAAGGGGAAAAAAATACATACATATTTATACGTATATATACGTACATATTTATACATATATATCTAAGCATGTGAAGGGGAGGAAAAATTGAAAAAAGGCGAAAAGTGAAAAGTGGGCGGCAACAGCTCACCGCTACGCTTCACCCTGCGACGGGGCGAAACTTGGTGAGCTCGCGCAGGAAGGGGTGGACGAACTTTTTGCGGCGTCTGCGGGAGTCCCTGCGGATGGTCGCCGCTTTAGGGTGCACGTTCCAAACCATGATGGTGTGGTCATCCGAGGCGGACACCATGTAGGGGAACTTGGAGCTGGCGAGGGGCCATATAGCAATGCTGACGGTGGAGGCGTGGCCATTTATTACGTCTAAAAGAAAGCCCTTCGTTTTGTGCCAAATGTATATTAAGCTGTCTTCACTTCCGCTAATAACGTAGTCCTCTTTCTTCCCCCCGAAGGTGGAATGCACGATGAATCTCCCCTGCTTGTGTCCCCGATAGGTCTGAATAATGTATCTGTGCTTCACGTCCCACAATTTGACAGTAGGTCTCTGGTCAGCTATGTTGACGAGGATATGATTATACAAGCTGGAAGCACACACAGAGGTGATGGTATCATATTCAGGCAAAATGTATAATTCCTTCTTTATGGCAAAATCGATCACTCGAACGTTTTTATCCGACGGAACAGCAATCAGGTACTTCTCATTGTTGGTGAAAACAAAATTCTGTATCCTTGTGCTAAAGGACCAGGCGTAGAGGACAGAGAAACCCTTCAACTCTTCGTTCAATTTGGTACAATAGATTTTCTTGTCGAAGGCAGAGGAGATAATCGTGGTGTCATCCTTCGACCAATAAATCGACGTGATAGGCCCATTGTGCATTGTCAGGCTTAATTTTTTCTTATTACTTTTTGGGCTCCAAATGATAATATTGGAATCATTCGAACCCGACACTAGGTACTTACTGTTGTGACTCCAGATGACGTAACTCACTCCATCCACATGACCATTCCATTCCCTTATCTTGTTAAAGGGGTAGAGCCCCTTCCATAGAATTATGCTTTTGTCTTTACTTGCCGACGCAATGTATTTTCCATTCTTCGATACATCCACGTACCACACCTCGTCCTTATGACCTTGCAATATTTTGATGCAGTAATATGGCAGTTTTATCTTCTTACATTGATGGTTTCTTAGCAATGATAGGGTAAACGTTTTTCTGCCTGCCCCCTCGCAGATGCTGCCATGGGTTCTGTCTTGTCTGGTAAACTGCTTACTTCCCTCCTCTCGCACTTCTCTTTCGTGGTGTTTCCACTCTGGGCGCATGTTACGGTTATCCTCGCCCTCTTGAGAGTGTAGTGTCCCTTCCGCACCGTTGCATACTTTAAGGGGCAGCTCCTCCTCCTTTCTAGTAGTCCCGTCAGTTTCATTTCCCCCATCGTGGCTGATTAGGAGTTCCCTCTCTTGCGTGGTAACAAATCCGTCCTTCGAATTAATCACATTCTTCGCACCGGATATGCTACTGCCTTTCTGCATTTTTTCTTTTGCAATGATCAGCTCATTTGGTGTTTTTGTCTTTTTTGGAATTTTCCCTAGTGTGACCTCTCCCTTCGGCGCTTCGCTGGTGGCCCCATTGAGAGTGCATATCTTGGCGTATTTTTTTCCTGCCGTGGACTTGGCGCTCTTGATGATGCCTCCCATGAGGCAGGGGAAGGGATTTCCCAACAGGGTGGAATTCGCTGTGGAATTCGCGCTCGCATTGGCAATAACATTCCCACTAACATCATCGCTGCTGCCCGTGCTTCCCTTGCTTCCCCCTGTCTGAGACGCGTGGGCGTTCTCGCCTGGAGCGAAGCGCGCCCTCGTTGCCTCTCTCGGTCGCAGAGCGCACTTGAGCTTTGTGCCTTTTCTTACGGGCTGGCCACTGTTCACGTTAAACTGATTTTCCCCGACGAGGTCGTCGTCCCACAGGTGGGTGGTCGTGTTCATGTGGTTGTCTGGCTCATCGGGCGGCGGTTGGTTCAGCACCGTTTCGTTTAGCAGCGTATCGTTCAGCATCGCTTGGTCCTGCAGGGCCTCGTTGGAGGTCACCTCGCAGGGGCTCCCCTTGTGGTAGTACGAGGAGCACTCGCCCCGTACGTTCTGGTGGTACCTAGAGAAGTCGCTCACAGAAAAGTTCATTTCATCCTCCTGTATGATATTCTTTTTTTTATTCAAACATGAGTTAGTGTCACGGTCCACTTGTCTATTCTCATCCGATTTTTTCTGCTTCTTAAATTCAAATGTTTTAGCTTGGCACGCTGCGCTGTGAGAGGTGGTGGGCTTCATTCGCGGCATCTTCTGCGTGTTCGCGTTCGGACCGGCTGAGTCCATAACATCTGAAACGTTTACTCCATTTGCAGCATTCACCGTGTTGGAGGCACTCGCCTCGATGGCGGCGTCCAGATCTTCCCTTCCCTTCTTCCCCTGCAGGAGCGCATTTATAAGCTTCGCCTCGGAGAAGTTATTATGAAACAAGCAGTTGTCCACCTGATACTTCAGCGACTGGTGCAGCAAAATGGCTAGTCTCCTCGGAGGAAGAATAACGTGTTCAGGTAACAAGCGATTCATTTTTTCAAACAGGAGCTTACGTGAATGCTTCACTTTGGCCTGATAATTTTCTTTTCTCCTCTTTGTCAAGTAGGGACTATTCATGGACATAAAGAAAGTTGTGCACTCGTGTAATCTGTTATAAGTATCCTCGTCGAAGCAGAACTTTGCCAGCCTGTTTCTTAGACATCTCAGAGCAGCAAAGTGCTTCCCTTCATAGAGATACTCGATAAAGCATTGCTCATATAGTAGGAACGAAATTGCCTTTATGATTTTTTTATGTACACGTAGGCTTCTTAAATTACGGATTGCATTTTTCCATTTCCCTGCGAGGACATTCTTATGCATCTCTTTCACTATTGGTTGCTCCAGTTCGATACCACTTTCTAGCTCCAAATGTTTGGCTGATTTTTTATAACCCATGTTTTTTATGGCTTGGATTACGAGGAGGATGACGTCTTTCTTTAGGAGTCCTTCCCATATGGAGTCGCCGTTGCTCGGTTTGTGCTTACCTTCGCTGGTATTTTGCCGATTGTGGTTTCTACCTCGATTGGAGGCGAGGCTTGAGCTTCCGTAGCTTCCGCGGCTCTCGCTGAAGTCGCTACTTCGGTCGCCGCAGCAGCTGCTACTACAGCTACTGCTGGGCGGGCTGCAATAGCAGCTGCTTTGGTTGCTCCAGTTGCTACGATATCTCCCGTTGCTCCCGTTTCTCCGGTTGGTCGTGCGCCCCCTGCTGCGGATACCATCCTTGCTGCTTCCACCGTTTGAGCCGCTGCAACCGCTATCGCTAGCATTCACTCCGTTTTCCCTTTTTTTCTTCTTTTTTTTTGACTTCTCATTACCCTTGATCTCTCCTCTGGTGGGTTTCTTTCCCCTGGTTCTCTTCAGTTTATTCACCCCGTTTGTGTTGAAGCCATTTTCCCAGCCCTGCTTTTCCCCTTCCTCATGCTGTCTGTAATCTTCCTGTCCGCCTCCCATCGCGCCATCCAAATAAAACTGCGACTCGTTCGGGTGGGCCCAACTCAAGTCGGGATTATTACAAAGGGGAACAAGGGCAGTGCCATCTTGCGTGTACTCACACATTCCATTGGTATTCGCTTCGTCTAAGGCGATCTGTTCATTGTACTTTGCACAGTGGTTACTTGCTACGTTCGCAACGTTCGCTACCACCTCTTGTGTGTACTCATCTGTATGTATCTTCTTCGTTCGGAACGAAGTGGACGCAATTCCATTTTGAGTATTGACTTCCAAAGAATTTAACATATTCCAGTGCTTGAATTTTTTCTTAATAACATGACTTGTTTCCTCCTGTCTTTTTCTTTTTTCGCGATTAATGATGCTTGTTACATTCATAACGATTATGAGAGGGGGGGATGTACGTATTGTCTGCTCTGGAGGGTCACATTAAAGCGCTATACAGCTATACACATATGTCCGTGCGTCGGCAGGACGCGGAGGGAGGCATCACATGTGGGAGGTTCGGTCCTTCTCTAGGGCCTCGTCTCCGAATCGAACAAAGGGAGCAGAAGAGGAGCACGATTGAACAAAATGGGAAACGCGTTTGCATCAGGTGCTGCCGATGGAATTGCACGGGGGGGGGTGTAAAAATTGTGAAAAAAACGAAAAAAAAAATAGGTAAAAAGGACAATATTTTACCTTAACCGTTCAGGCAAAAAGGGATAACTTTTGTGCCTCTTCCCCAAAAAAAAAAAAAAGAAAAAAAAGTAACACAGGTAAAACACGTAATACATATTAGATACGTAATTTACTCTATTCACGCATTAACAGCTGTAAGCTCCTTTGACGCACGAAGTGGCAAGAACGTTATTCGAGTGCAGCATCAATACCCATAAGCTTAAACGGTAAAGTGGAAAGGGGGATGCGTGTTTACGTGCTACCTATTCTGGTAAGAAAACATACGAGACGAAGGGAGGATGGGGAAAAAAAAAAAAAAAAGGCGGAAAAAGTGGCTCCTTCGTCCTTAACCGTAGGGAAGTTTTAGTTTTTACAATTCACCTAACACCACCCCTTCTTTTCCTTCTTGTTCCATTTGTGAATGGTTTTATTTGGGGCTCTTAGCGTTTTCCCCTATCCTGCTCGTTCCGTTTGTGCTTGTTTACTTGTAATTATTGTTTATGAGCCCTTCCGGTTGGCCCTTCTTTTAAAATGTGAAGAATAGCCAGTTTGCCTCGTCAGCTGGGCAAGCTGGCTTTATTCGTTCGATTTGCTCCTGCGCATCACTTGTTAGCTATACCTTCTTGATATATATGTATTTTTTTTTTTTCTTCTTCTTCTACTTTTTTCCACATTCATATCAATTTGCTCCTCCGGCTGGTGGCTTTTTTTTTCAATTCGCATGGCTTTATGTCGTGTACGGATGCGCTAGGCACTCCCTCACCTGTACGCCCCCCTCGGCGTGCATACCTGCATACATGCACGCGTGTACTCCGTCACCGTTTACTCCTGCACGGTGTACTTCTGTCCCCGTGCACATGGGCGTATCCCTTTGCATGCGGTCATATGCTAGCGGCACTGAGCATCCAGAGGGGTACACTTTTATGCTTGCATTTAAACGATCGTCTCCCTGCGTATATCTACATACATCGTTACATGTGCGTTACGGAAAGCAGCATCTTTTCGCCCGTTTGAAGTGGAGGAGAAGGTGATGGGGTTCTAATCATTAATCGGGGTTATGGGACTGAACAGAAAAGGGGGGAGGATAGAAGAAAAAAAAAAAAAAAAAAATAGTCCCAATTTTTTTTTCTCCCTCGCATGGTCAGTCTTCCTCTTCGTTGTGTTACCAAACTTAGATGTCCATTTCGTACGTCCCTAGCCATGACAAATAGCAGAAGCGGTTTGTTAAGCAGAAGCTACTTGGAAACGAAGTTGCTGCTGCTCTGAGTTACCACGTATCCTTTTTGGCGCCCCCGGGTTATATATTTCCCCCGTAAGGACACTCCCCTATGTTCGGAAAAGAACAAATCGGTACGAAGAAACACGCACAGCCGCTTACTTGCCTACTGAAAGG